CTGGGCCAGGTTTTGTGTCTGGCTGTGGCTTTCCCTCACCGCTGCTAGAACAAAAACAACAAAGCGTGCTGCAATAACGCAGGAAATGGCTGAGCAGGCGACCGCAGCGCAGGCCAACCCCAAGCACGCCGCCCAGACCAAGGCCTGTCGTCGGAATCCCTTTTCCTCCTACATGCGGGCGAGAATCTCCTCGACCCGTCGGAGGTATTCGACCTTCTCCTCATACAGGGCAAGCGAGTCATCTTGGCTTAATGAGTCGTACTGATCAGCGTCCATGACGAGGGTGGGGGACATGAACTCTACTTCGGGAACCTCGAAGATGCCGGGGAAGATCCGGTTGATGAGCATCTCGAGTCCGAATCTTTCCTAGCGAGTCTCCACGAAGGACAGTTCTATGTCCTATAGTTGTTGGTCCACCTGGACGTGCTGGTCTTTTGAAATTCGCGGGCCATCATTCTCATTAAAGGTTTTCATCTTTAATAAGATAAAAATCGCAATTACCGAGGCACTAACGCCTGCGAATAAAACTACGACTCCTAGTTTTTTCATGAACTTAAATTTGTTTCTAAGTTGGATATTGAATTTAATAATGAAGTTATCTCGTCACTTATGGGCGACGTTTGCGTGCGGGTGTGTGTGTGGTTGTGTGTGTGCGTGCTTGTGTGTGTGTGCATGTGTGTTTGTGGTTGTGTGTGCGTGCTTGTGTGTGTGTGTGTTATTACTATTATCGTTATTATTACTGTTATTGTTTTTGTTACTATTATCAATCTATCCCTTACCATACCACCCTCACAGTGTATCGATCTCCTCACCATAATCATTCCCTCACCATATACACCATAACCATTCCCTCATAACACCCATCTTTCTCACAATGCTCAACCCTCATCATAACCATCAGTCCCTCTCACCATACCCACTCTCAACATTTTCAACATTTGCCTTAATAATCAGACCATATTTATTCGTTTACTTTGTGTACAAATGAAAGAAGTGTGAATTTTTTAACAAAAGTAAAATGTGTGTTACATATGAGCTGAATTTGTTCTTAAAATATAATGACATGCAAAAAATCTAGTAATAGTCGTTATAATATTCATTATATAGGTATTCAGATCATGAAAGTCAAAGGGAACTACATTTCCCGGAAAACGTCTTATTTTATCAAAGCATAGGTACAAATGTCAAAAATATATTAGTCATCCCTATAGTATGTTACAGAAAACGCGCGTTAAACTGCATTATAGAAAACTGTCAAAACACAGTAACTATCGAAATTTTCACATTTATTGTCATGATTGTGATGGCGACGACTGTTGAAAATACAGATGAAGATAGAGACGAAGTGGAGATAATGATGATACAATGATAATGAGAATGACAGATGAAAATCATCACGAAATATTCATACAAAGCATGTTGAAGGCGACGATTATGTAATAATGATAAGGATAATGATGAGGACAATACTGAAACAATTAGGATAATGATAATGGAGTTAAAGATAATGGTGTCAATGAAAACGATAGTGACGATATGTAACAAGGACAATACAATTAATTTGACATCAAAAGCAGCAGAAGTAACGAGTATGATAATACTACTTGTCATAATAGAAGCAATACATCAGAGATACAGTGAGAGCAACTCCATATCCAGTGCCGCTTAGCAATTGCATTGTTCACTGTTGTTTTGTTTTGTGGTTTTATGGATATATTAGCTGACCCTGTGTAGCCTTATCCGCTTTCCCATTCGTTGAATTTTAGGGAAAAGCTTTTCTAATGTTATTCATATTATTACTGTTCTCATCAACATTTTTGTCGTTATGATTATTAGTATGTAATCAACAATACTAATAGAAATACAGAATATGAAAAGATTTATTTCCATAAATCTGGTAAAGTGTAAAGAATTATATTCTGCTGAATTGTTAAAATTCATATATATTTGAAACGAGTTTTCATATTTTGAAAATTGATTGTACTTAAAATTTGATTCTTAAGATAGTTTGTATTTATTTTGCATGCTACCGTTATTCTTCTATTAACACGTATGTATTCTCAAATTAAGGTTTATAAACCAAAAAGCGAATGTTTTTCTACAAATTTATTTTTGAAGACAAAATATTGGTTTGATAAGCTTCAATTACTTTTGAGTATGTCAAATTGTACTTGAACATCATTAAAATGTAAACAAAAAACAAACATTTACACTGAAATGTTTAAAAAATACATCGCTTGGATTCTATTCATCAGCTGTGAAAATATGCATTTCCAGACATCCAAATTTCCTGGTATAAAAGCTTCATATCGTTGAGGAAGAGGTTTGTAAAATACCCAAAGTATGTCCAAATTATATGCTAATGTTATGATCTTGCAGATTCAGAATATGTTTGATTTACACTGTAAAACTTTTCTTTCAAATACCACATGTATTATATTATTTGTTGCAAGGACCCTTCAATGTAAAATACACTGCATAGTTATTCTTAAGCTTGAAATGTACTATTTACATTTTTCTAAACTGAAAGAAAGCTTATTCTAGTTTAACATGTAACTAGATCCTGTTGAACATTCTTAGAATATGTGGACAACGTCAAAATATATATAGATATATATAAATGTAATGCACTGCACAGTTGGGTATTATCACCCTAAACATAGAATTGGGTTAACCCTTTTGAAATTCCATTATAAAATAGAAAAAACCTATTTGAACATTTAATTTAATACATTAGTTACATTTCAGCATGGAAAACGAAACTAAATGGAAGCACACGGTATAGAAATATGAAATAGAGGCAAAAGCCTTAATTTCCAGCGGGAATTCCTGTCAAGTACTTTGGGGATAGCAACAGGGTATTCACACACCTGGTGGCATAAATACTGCATGTCCTCAGTATATCTTCACCACCCTACTATTTAGGAATTTTACAAGAGCATTAAGATTATCACAGTGACAAATTGTATAAAATATGTGGTTCCTTGTAGTTGATAGTCCGAGCAGTGTAAGCAGATCATTGAGGCAAAAATATTGTCTTCCTTTTAGAATCTATGAGGCGCCTCCAAGGTTGGTCTGAACGATGGCTCTAAAGTATCCAAATAACATGAGAAAATCAATAAAAAACAGCAGGAGTTCTATGCAGGAAACTCATGAGGAGGAGATGGAAGAGGAGGGGGAGAAAGAACAAAGAGGAAGAGGAAGAGGAGGAGGAGGAGGAGGAGGAGCAGGAGGAGGAGAAAGAGAAGAACAAAGAGGAGGAGGAGGAAGAGGAGGTTGAAGGAGGAGGTGAAGGAGAAGAAGAACAAAGAGGAGATAGAGGAGGAGGAGGTGAAGGAGAAAGAGAAGAACAAAGAGGAGGACGACGACGAATCCTCAAAACTTTAAATGGACACAGTCGACCCGCCGAGCAACACCGGTCTCCATTCACACCCACAGGAAGTAAGCCAGAACCAGAAGAGGCAACAGGAGAGACGGGGCCACGTCGGAGGAGCTGTTGCAGAGGATGGAGTTGCAGAAACACACGTGCTGCGAAGCCAGGCCTTTCAGGTTGGCTGCCTCACAGACGTTCGCATGCACATCGTCTGCGCAGCCTTTCTTGGCGTCGCCGAAGCCCACTAAGGGAGGAGGGAGGAAACGAGAATAAGTTTATCTGCGGTTTTGCGATTGTAGGAAATGCTTCATCGTTTTGGCATCATGCGAGTCAAAAAAAAATGTATACAATCCTTTCTAACTAATACGAGATTTTAGCCTCTTGTTTCATTCTAATACGAGATTTTAGCAACTTTGATTCTAATACGAGATTTTTTCAACTCTTGTTTGATTCTAATCAAGTAATAATATATATGACGTGTTTTACGCATGTCCATAACTATCTAATCAAGAGAACTGTTGAGAAAAAAATCTATTGTTTAATTATGATCATTTTCTAATCAAGAGAACTGTTGAAAGTAATAAAAAAAAAAAATAAGAATTTAATAAAACAGTTTTTTTTCTATCTTATCTGACATGAAAACAAAATATAATCAAACGGATTATCGTAAAAAGGGGGGCGGGGGGGGGGGGGCTTACAGAGTTTTGCTCCCACCGAGTAACAGGAACCGGAGAAACAAGGCACAACCGACCAGCTTTCATCGCCAGGGTTGTGGCTGTAGCAGAACCAAGCAGAGGCTGAAAAGGGGGAAGGAAAATTAATACATAATAGATAAAAAAAAAAATAAAACAGGTGCCTCATGGAATAGATTTTAAAATATACATATACACTAAAAACGAATTTAAAAGAGAATGCAGATTTGTAGAATGAAGCACGTTTATATGGCAAATTACAATTATAGGAATTTCAAGATTAAACGCTAAAATCTGTATATCATAAAATAGATTGCAAAGAAAAGAGGCATTTGAGTAGATAATAACAGCAACAGACAACAAAGCAACGAATATAAATTTCTGGAGTAAAATTCGAACCGAAAATAAATTTTGGTGAATTAAAAAGAAAAAAAAATATGAAGGAAGACGTTATTTTAGTTATCTAATTGTCTATTTTAGATTATTATCAAAATAAAAACTGAAATAATAGGCACTCAAACAACAGCTGATTAATATTTAAGAACAAAGAGGAGGAGGGAGAGGAGGAGGAAAAGGAGAACAAAGAGGAGGGGGGGGAAGAGGAAGAGGGAGAGGAGAAGAACAAAGAGGAGGGGGAGGACGAGGAGAACAAAGAGGAAGAAGAGGAGAAGAAGAGAAGAACAAAGAGGAGGGGGAGGACGAGGAGAACAAAGAGGAAGAAGAGGAGGAGAAGAAGAGGAGGGCGAAGGGGGCAGGAGGAGGAAGAGGAGGAGGAGGAGATGAAGAAAGAGGAGGAGGAAAAGAAACAAAGAGAAGAGGAAAAGAACAAAGAGAGAGAAGGAGAAAGAGAAGAACAAAGTGGAGGAGGAGACGAAGGGGCGGGAGGAGGAAAAGAGAGGGGAGGAGAACAAATAGGAGATGAAGAAAGAGAAGAACAAAGAGAGAGGAGGACGAAGGGGGCAGGAGGAGAACAAAGAGGGGGAGGAGGAAGAGGAAAATAAAAAGAAGAACAAAGAGGAGGAAAACGAAGAGAAGAAGGAGAAAGAGAAGAAGAACAAAGCGGAGGAGGAGGACGAAGTGGGCGGGAGGAGGAAGAGGAGAATAAAGAGAAGAACAAAGAGGAGAAGGAGGAGGAAGAGGAGAATAAAGAGAAGAACAAAGAGGAGGAGGAGGAAGAGGAGAAAAGAGAAGAACAAAGAGGAGGAGGAGGAAGAGGAGAATAAAGAGAAGAACAAAGAGGAGGAGGAGGAGGAAGAGGAGAATAAAGAGAAGAACAAAGAGGAGGAGGAAGAGGAGAATAAAGAGAAGAACGATGAAGAGGAAGAAGAGGAAAATAAAGAGAACAAAGAACAAGACGAAAGGACAACACGGGCGGCCGAAGACCTCCCCACTTACCTTGGTGCGCGAGAAGCATCACGCCCACGAAGCCAAGGATTCTCATGCTGCTGGCTCTGAGGGGGGGGGGGGGGGAAAGGTCTTAGTTTGGGAGTGGTTCGTCTACTTTTCTGCTTATTCAGGAAGTGGTTCTACTTTTCGGGTTACGTTGGAAGTGGTTCATCTACTTTTCTACTTAGTTTGGAAGTGGTTCGTCTACTTTTCTACTTATTTTTTATTTTTTATTTTCTAATTTTCGGGTTATTTTGGAAGTGGTTCATCTACTTTTCTACTTATTTTGGGAGTGGTTCATCTACTTTTCTACTTATTCTGTGAGTGGTTCTAATTTTCGGGTTATTTTGGGAGTGGTTCATCTACTTTTCTACTTATTCAGGAAGTGGTTCTACTTTTCTTTGGGAATGGTTCATCTATTTTTCTGTTTACTTTTCTACTTATTTTGGAAATGGTTCATATATTTAACTACTAAATGAATACCTACTTTAGGAATGGTTCAGCCACTTGTCTGATGATTTTGGGGGAGGGGAAGGAGGGGAGGGTGGAGGGGAGGAAGGGGAGGAGAGAAGGAGAGGGGGAGGAGGAGGAGGAAGGGGAGGGTGAGGAGAAGGGGAGGGGGAGAGGAAGGGGAGGAGGGGGGAAGTGGTGACGGAGGAGGTGGATAAAGAGATGTAAACTGTTGCTGCTGTTGGTGGTGGTGGTGGAGGAGGAAGTGGGGGGAAGAGGAGGAGGGGGGGGGGAGGAGGAGGAGGAGGAAGGAGGAGGAGGAGGAGGAGGAGGAGGAAAGGGGGAGGAGAGGAGGAGGGAAGAGGAGGACGAGGAGGAGGGAGGAGGAGGAGGAGGAGAAGGGGAGGAGGAGGAGGAAGAGGGAGGGAGGAGGAGGAGGGAGGAGAGAGGAGGAGAAGGAGGAGGAGGAGGGGGGGGAGGAGGAGGAGAGGGGAGGAGGGGAGGAGGAGGAGGAGGAGGGGGAGGAGGAGGGGAGGAGGAGGAGGGGAGAGGAGGAGGAGGAGGAGGAGGAGGAGGAGAGGAGGAGGAGGAGGAGGAGGAGGGGAGGAGGAGGAGGAGGAGAGGAGGAGAGGAGGAGGAGGAGGAGGAAGGAAGAGAGGGGGAGGACGAGGAGGAGGAGAGGAGGAGGAGGAGGAGGAGGAGGAGGAGGTTTAGCGACCTCTCACCTCGACCTCGCCATCACCCTCGCTGTAGGCCCCGCAGTATATAGGACTCTACTGTTTATCCCCGGCGCCAACGTGTCCTGCGCCCCTCGCGAGACGACCGAGACAAATTGCCACCAGAACAAGCAATTCCGACCCTTACTGACAATACTTCTGATTACCTTATAACTACTTGCAAACTCATGTATTATGTATGCTCGTAATGTTCCCCAGTTATTGCACTGTATATATCACTACTTTTGTAATAATTATCATTGTAGTTACTCTAGTTATCAATTGTTCAAGAATATTCTACGGACATACTTTCTTATCACGACGCTTTTAGTTGTACAAACACCTACCACGTGTGTGAACCGATGTTTCTGAATTTATGTTCTTCTATATTCTTTCATGTTTTTCCATTGTATATTGGTTAAAAACGAACTTCGTTCATGGCAATTCCTGTGCCATCTACCGCAGACCGCTCGCCCTCGCGGGCTTGGCAGGACGCGCCCTTCCCTGGCCCTCTGCCTTGCCCTCTGTACCAGTTATCCAGAATAAAGACAAGAAAACTTCGACAAGTTTAACATCAGACCAACATCTTCAGAGTACGTCAGTACTTACTTACTACTGCCTTACCACTCAGCCACGACCTACCAAACAACAAGTAATAATAGTGGGGGTGGGACGCCTCCTCCTCCACTACCACCACATACATTACAAGTGGTGGCATCACGCTGGGATTGCCGCACCACGCGCCCTCCGAAGATTACCGCACCACGCGCCCTCCGAAGATTGCCGCACCACGCGCCCCTCCGAAGACATCGTCCAAGTACTCTGAAGATCAACTTCACGAGAAGTTACAAGTCTCTACCAAGATTATCGACTCCTGCAAGCAAAGAAACTCTCATCGAAGTCTGTCACTTCAAGACTTCCGACACCAAGCACGAAGCCAGTCTTCCCTGCTGTCACTACTCCTCTGCGCACCTGCCGCAGTCCTCACGGTTACTGCAGTCGCCTGATGCAGCAACAATCAATCATACACTACACTGCCCTGCCAGTACTTCAAGGTGAGTTTTTCTTTATCCTCGCTGTTTTCATTTGTTTTAGGAAAATCCCCTGTGAAGTGAAGTGTCTGATTTCCTCTCGCTCTCGCGAACACCTGTGTTCCTCCCGCATAGAAAACGAAGATCTCCCTCACAGACATCTGTCTCCCCTTAATAGCATGTCTCCCCTCACTCCGATCGCGCCTCACTCATGCCCTGTGTATAGCATGATTAACGTCAATCTCTGTAGTTCTGTCTACCTACAGAGTATTAGTTCGTTTTCCTTTACTCTAAGTCGTGATGATTCTGAATCTCCACGATGCTAAGTTCCAGTTCATTCATAATGAGCTATTTTTTCCAGAAATTCTTCCTCTTTTTGCTGTCTTCAGTAATTCTCTTAATAGGAAATCCTTCCTGTATCCTTTAGCATGCAACTACCCCACTTCATTTTCGAAGAGATTAATCACAGCATTTTGAGGCACGCACCATAACTGCTCATTTCCCGCCTGAAGGAAATGTGTATCTAGTGATTTATATGTCACGCTCACTTTATTAACAGTAATAATCTGTTGCAACTACTGTCTTGCACGTGAGATTCTATCGAACTAATGAAAATGAGGAGAATCGATTCTTGTATCTTAGCAAATGGCGTCTGCAAAACTCCGCAATTTTCCAAAAGAATTTGTCGCTAACAATTTCAAAATTCTGTATTGTTGACTTGTGGCCTTCTAATCTCATCAGAAAATTGTGGCAATTGAAGACACCCTATCTGTTCCCAATACTGTGACACGTTGCATGCCTAAGTATAGTTTCCTAATCATATGAGTTCGTGTATCACTTCACACACTCCCTGCAGATAACTGGAGATATGGGCTCAGTTATGCGATACCTCTGTACCCAAACAGGGTACTGTTGTTTACCGATGCGGAGAGTCTGTTGTCCCCAGTAGGACCAGACACACGAACCTGTGCTAAGAACGAAACCTGGCTGGATAGACTCTGACTCTCGGATCACCACGTCGACCTCCCCAAATCGCCCGTGGCCTGACGCAATCAAGTTTTTCGCTCGCCCGTTAACAGAGACCCAGAAGTACTAACGACGTCCTCCCGCCGTCCGTAAATCACCCCACTGCCCGACGCCTCCATGTTTTTAATCGTACATCGGGCCTGCAACTCCGGCCGTGTCCGCCGCCCTTGTTCCGCTTGGTGAACTACCGGCCGGAGAGCCGGCACCAGCGCATCACCTGCCGACGCTCTCCTGTTCTCGAGCGTTGCTATCTCGGCCATGTCCGCCGCCCCGACCGATCGCCGCTGGTGATATCAGCCGCCCACCTGCCATCGTCAGGCAATCTCGCTACGAGTCACATGCACCACAAGTGGCGTCGTCCCCTGCCGTGCTGGGATGACCTTAGGCAAGAACTGAGTCCCTCCTTGCTGACCGACCTCGTGACGGGTTCTTCACAATGTTCGTCCTCTCTGAGCGAAGATGACGAATCCTGCTCTCAGCCGACGTGATTGGCCCCACCTCAGACCTCGCTCTCAAGACTTCTGCCGCCAACCTCTCGAGCTCTTTCGACGATTACTGATCTCCCATGAAATCATTCTAGAACCCGGTTGTGGTACGTGTCGATTTACGACTCGAGAACACGGCGCTTTTGCGAAAGTTATAACTGATGTCTTCCACAGTGATCGCTGGCATGGAACGATATGGACGAGCTTCGTGACTGATATCACTGCCCCGCTCGAACGATCATAAGACCACCTGCAACCCCGTAAGCACGTGTTGTCGAGTGGGGGGACACTGGGGTGCGCACAAAGACACCAAAGCCAGGCGACCCTCAAAGGAACCCAGAGACAGCACGGGCCCGACCTTTAGACAATACCTGTACGACCGTTTCCCTCCTCAATCTGCAACGAATCACCTGTCAAGCGTGTCATCTACCTGCATCAGTCCTACTCAGAATGCGAGGACGATTCTTTTCTGAGTGGCCGAGCGATTTAGCGACACTCTGAGTCACGCTCGCCTCCAACACTCACCGATGAACTCGCTGTAAGGGCCCCGCAACTTAATAGTAGGACTCTAATGGTTTATCCTCCGGCGCCAACGTGGTCTGCGCCCCTCGCGAGACGAACCGAGACAGAAATTTGCCACCAGAACAGAGTCAATTCCGACCCTTACTGGACAATACTTCTTTACCTTATATACTACTGCAAGACTCAATGTATTTGTATGCCGTAATGTTCCAGTCTATTGCACTGTATAATCACTACTTTGTAATAATTACATTGTTAGTTTAGCTGCTACGTTATCGAATTGTCAAGAAGTATTCTACGGCCACACCTTATTCTTACGTCACGACGCTTTGTAGGTTGGTAACAATTACACACGATACACGTGGTTGTGAACCGATTTTCTGAATTTTAGTGTTCTTCTATAGCTGCCTTATATAATATGGTCGCGACACATTGTATAGTGTGGTTAAAAAAACGCGGAACTTCGGGTTCATGATGGCATTTCCTGTGACCATCTACAAGCATACCCTAGGAGCCTCTGCCCCGCGGGTCCTCAATGGCAGAGAACGTGCTCCTCTTGGATGCACGCTGCCTTGAGACGTGCGTACCAAGTTACACAGACAATAAAGAGTCAAAGAAAACTTCGACAAGTTAACTTCTACAACCAAACATCTTCAGACGTGACGGTCGTACTCTTACTGTACTACTGGCCTTACCACGTCAGCACACGACCTAACCCAAAGTGAATAATACCGCAACAAAGTAACAATAAGTGGGGGGTGGAACGCATCGCTATCCTCCCACCTAACACACATTACAGGGAGGAGGAAGAAGGAGGAGGAGGGCGGAGGAAGACGGGGACGAGGTAAGCAGGGAGGAGTGCGCAAGCGGGAGAGGGAGGGGGAAGGAAGGGGAGGGGAGGAAGGAGGAGTGGGAAGGAAGAGGAGGAAAGGATGGGAGGAGCAGGGAGGACGGTGGAATGGTGAAGAGGAGGGGTCACAAAAGGGTAGGGTGGGATAGTAAGATAGGAGAGGAGGTGGAGGAAGTGGATGGGAAAGGAGGTGGGAGGAGACGGAGAAGGGAGGCAGGTGGTGTGGAGGGGTATCAGAACGTGAGGTAGGTCGGCAGGGGGAGGGCTCGAAGGAGGAGAGAGGAGGATGAGGGAGGGGGGGACGAAGGAGAGTGTGTGGTGGGTCACACCATGTGGGAGGAGGGAGAAGGAGAGGAGGGAAGAGGACGAGGAGGTGGATGCATGGGTCGGCGCGGAGGGAAGTAGGTAGGTGGAGGAGGGAAGGAGGGGAGGGAGGGAGAAGGGGAGGGGAGAGGACGAGGTGTGGTGGTGGTGGTGAGATGAGAGGAGGAGGGAGGAGGAAAGCGACCGAGGAAGAAGTGGTAGAGGTGGCGGTAGAAAAGAAGGGAGGAGAGAGGAGGAGGAGGAGAGTGAGGAGGTAGGGAAAAGGTTGAGAGAGGTAGAAGGGGATGGAAGTGGAGGTGGAGTGGAGGCGGAGAGAAAGCGAAGGCAGGGAAGAGAAGAAGGAGGGTATGGAAGGCGGCGCGGGCTGGAGGTGGCTGTTGTGAGTGGACGGCAGCAACGAATTACATCGGCAGCAATTTTGGAACGTTGAGCCGAATCAAAAAACACAAAGGGAGCTTTTTTTTTTTTTTTAAAAAAAAATTGGGGGGGGGCAAAAAAAAATGTTTTTGTGGGTTTTTTGGGGGGGCCCGGAAAAGAGGTTGGGTTGTTGAGGGGGAAGCCAAGAGGGGGGGTGAAAGGGGAAAAGGGTGGGGTTTGGGTGGGAGTGGTTGGAGTGGAAAAAGTGCGTTTGGAGGTGGAAAGTGGGAAGTGAGTGGAGTTGGGAGTGAGATGGAGAAGTGAAGTGAGGTTGAAGTGAGTGAGTGGAAGTGATGGAAGTGAGTGAGAGGTGGAAGTGAGTTGAGTGGATGAGTGCGTGCGTGCGTGCGTGCGTGCGTGCGTGAGTGAGTGAGTGAGTGAGTGAGTGAGTGAGTGTGTTGTCCGCGTGTGTGTCTGCGTGCGTGCGTGCGCCTCTATCTCTCCATCTACATCAACAAACACGAACAATCAGATCTTGTTGAAACGGACGCGAATATTCGAACGAAGAGCAGACGCGTCCGATCCCTGTTGAGTCTGCTGACGAGGACCTGACTAATCAAACACGTATGCTTTGAGCTCCTCTCTCTCCTTCTCTTTCTTTTTTCTATTCTCTCTCTCTCTCTCTCTCTCTCTTCTCGTCTCTCTCTCTCTCTCTCTCTCTCTTCTCTCTCTCTCCTCTCTTCTCTCTCTCTCTCTCTCTTGTGTGTGTGGTGTGCGTGGTGTATGTGTTCTCTCTCTCTCTCTCTCTCTCTCTCTCCCTTCTCTCTCTCTCTCTCTCTCTCTCTCTCTCTCTCTCTCTCTCTCTTCTCTCTCTCTTCTCTCTCTCTGCTCCTCCAAACGACCCCAACTACCTAACCCCCCCCCCCTCCTTCCGATCACTGTTACCCCACTCACCCATCCACCTCTCTCTCCCTCATTCCCTCCTCTTTTCACTACTTACCATATACAGTCACTCATCCCTCCCTCCTCCATTTACTTAACTCCCTCCCTTGCTTCCTTCACCTCCCTCCTCCATTTACTTCAACTCCCTCACTCCCTTCTTTGTTTTCCTTCACTTACATAGTTCGCTCGTTCCTGTTCCTCTTGCACTTATTTCTCTCCCTTTGCCCACCTGATGTGGCTGCTGCTCATCTCCTGTTCTCCTGCCTCATCTACTCACCGTCCTCCCTCTCTTCTCTCCCCTCCTCCTCTTTGTCCTCTCCCCCCCTCCTCCGTCCTCTGTCTCCTCCCTCCCTCCTCCTCCTCTGTCCTCCTCGCCTCCCTCCCTGCCTCTGTCCTCTCCCCTCTCCTCCCTCCCTCCTGCTCTCTCTTCCCTCCTCTCTCTGTCGCTCCCCTCCTCCCTCTGTCCTCCCCCTCCCTCCTCTCTGTCGCTACCTCCGCCCCTCCTCCTCCTCTTCCTCCTCCCCCGTCCCTCCCTCCCTCGTGTCCCTCCTCGCCCCTCCCGGCCTCCTGCTGGTCCTCCTCCCCTCCCTCCGCTATCTCTGTCCTTCCTTTAGTGAACCTCTCACCTCGACCTCGCCCATCACCCTCTGGCTGTAGGCCGCAGTTTATTAGGACTCTACTGTTTATACCCCGGCGCCAACTGTCCTGGCGCCCTCGCGAGACGACCGAGACAAATTGCCACCAGAAAAGCAATTCGACCTTACTGACAATGCTTCCTGATTACCTTATAACTATTGCAAACTCATGTATTATGTATGCTGCATAATGTTCCCCTGTATGCATGTAATATATCACTACTTTTGTAATAATTTTCATTGTAGTTACTCTAGTTATCAATTGTTCACGAATATTCTACGGACATACTTTCTTATCACGGCCTTTTAGTTGTACAAAACACTAACACGTGTGTGAACCGATGTTTCTGATTCATGTTCTTTCATATTTTTCATGTTTTTCCATTGTATTTGTCTCCAAACGAACTTTGTTCTGGCAATTCTGTGCCATCTACAGCAGCCGCTCGCCCCGCGGGCTCGCAGGACGTGCTCCTCCCTGGGCACCTGCCTTGCCCTCTGTACAGTTACCCAGAATAAAGACAAGAAAACTGCGACAGTTTAACTTCAGACCAACATCTTCAGAGTACGTCAGTATTACTTACTACTGCCTTACCACTCAGCCACGACCTACCAAAGAACAAGTAATAATAGTGGGGGGTGGGACGCCTCCTTCCTCCCACTACACACTTACACCATCCTGCTTCCTTCCCTTGTCCTCTGACCTCTGTTTCTCTGCCCTTCCCTCCTCTGTGGCTCCTGCTCCCTCCCTCCTGGCCTTTCTCTGTTCCCTCTTTCCTCCTCCTCTGTCCTCGTGTCCTCTGCCCGGTCCTCCTCCTGCCTGCTGCCTCCCTCCCTTCCTGTCCTCGCCCGCTCCTCCCCTCCTCCTCTTTCCTGCCTCCCCCTCCCTTCCCTTCCTGTCGCTCTTGCGCCTCTTCCTGTCTACCCCTGCCCTCCCTCCCTCTGCCCTCCTCCCCTCCCTCCCCCTGCTCTGTCCTCCCTCCCTTCCTGTCCTCCCTCCCTCCCTCCCTCCCTCTGCCCTCCTCTCCCTCCTCGCTCTGCCCTCCTCCCCCCTCCCTCCCTCCCTCCCTCTGTCCTCCCATCCCCTCCCTCCCTCCCCTGTCCTCCACTCCCTCCTTCTGTCCTCCCCCTCCTCCTCCCTCCTCTGCCCTCTCCTCCTCCCTCCCTCCTCCCTCTGTCCTCCTCCCCTCCCTCCTCTGCCCCTCCTCCCTCCTCCCTCCCTCCTCCTCCTCCTCCTCCCTCCTCCCTCCCTCTGCTCCTCCCCCCCTCCCTCCTCTGCCCCCCTCCTCCCTCCCTCCCTCTGCCCCCTCCTCCTCCTCCCTCCTTTGTCCCTCCCCCCCTCCCTCCTCCCACTCTGTCCTCCTCCTCCCTCCCTCTGTCCTCCCTCTCCCCTGCTCCCCAATCGACCGCCCGGCTATAAGGGTAACTTCGTATAAAACGCGTACAGCTGTATGAAGGCGGGTGGAGGGGGGGGGGTGAGAGGCGAAGGACAGGAGCAAGGTGAGGAGATAATACAAAATGAACGAGGGAGAGAACGAGAGAGAAAAATTAAATAGGGAAAGAAAGAAGAGAACGAGAGAGGAGAGGGGAGAACGAGAGAGAGAGAGAGAGAGAGAGAGAGAGAGAGAGAGAGAGAGAGAGAGAGAGAGAGAGAGAGAGAGAGAGAGAGAGAGAGAGAGAGAGAGAGAGAGGAGAGAGGGGGGGGGGGGAGGAGATAGAGAAGAGAGAACGACAAGAAACACAGCGAAAGAACGACCTGGACAATATTGCAAACAGGATGAAAACCCGGTGTTGAAATCCTCTGTGGCAAGACCGTGCAATGGCGTCTTCTCTGACACAAACGTCATCGGATTTTGTTGCATTTCAGTCAGTCAGAAAATCCAGCTGCCTTGTGCATTCGTCCCTCACTCCGTTCTTTTCTAATAGATATGCAACCTGTGTTAGTTTCGCTTTTCTGGTATATTTAAGAATCCCTTCGCTTCATGTTCGTTTGATATATATTTAGATATTAGATATTTATATATAAGGAACGTATCTCGGTTTATTTTTTATTTTTTATTTTTTTGCCTCTACCCTCTCTGCTGGTCCTCCCTCCCCTCCCCCTTCTGATTTTATTTCTCTCTCCTCTTCTTCTCCTCCTCCTCCTTCTTCTTCTTCTCTTTCTCCTCCTCCTTCCTTCCTCCATTCAGGTAAGACAACGATAACCTCGTGTGTGACATAAATTCACGATTACACATATAACCCCCCCCCTATTTTTTTTTTTTTTTTTATCAATCCTACCATTAAAATCATGAAAAATAAATTCTAAATATCATATCTCACATGCACCAACTTTCCCCTCTCACAAAATACTCACATTTCTCAGGCGTTTACACCACGAGGAGAGAAGGACACCGGCGGATCACAAAGGAAAGGCTAAAACGTATCCAAACTTCCTGGTCCACTCGGCGCGTGTGCTTCCGTCGGCGGTCAGAGAGCGAATGCGAGTCGGAAGGGGAGGACGCTCGAGTTGCCGGTCTTGGCTGGACGCGTACAGAACGAGAATGGTTTCCCACGTGGCCGGGCTTCTGCGTTTTAATTTGTCCTTTTGTACTCGGGAATTTTAAGTGTATTGGTGGGATGGTGGAATATGTGACATTTTTCGTTTTTTGTTTTTTAAGACGTTGCTTCATGTCTGGAAGGAAAGCAGAGAGAGAAAGAAGGGAAAATTCCCGTGCGAATAATTTTAACGCCAGTCCAGAGGAGAGAGAGAGAGAGAGAGAGAGGGAGAGAGAGAGAGAGAGAGAGAGAGAGAGAGAGAGAGAGAGAGAGAGAGAGAGAGAGAGAGAGAGAGAGAGAGAGAGAGAGAGAGAGAGAGAGAGAGAGAGAGGGAGGGAGGGAGAGAGAAAGAGAGAGAGAGAGAGAGGAGAAGGAGGGAGAGAGAGAGAGAGAGAGAGAGAGAGAGAGAGAGAGAGAGAGAGAGAGGAGAGAGGAGAGAGAAGAGAGAGGAGAGGTGAAGTGTGTGTGTCACAGTTATTACGATTAGTTTCCCTCAAAGATAAATTATCTATAAATCCGTTTCTTTGCAGTGCAAGAGCTTGCAACTCGATGTCCTCTTCCT